CAAAAAAAAAAAAAAAAAAAAAAAAAAAAAAAAGAAAAAAGAAAAGGTAATATTAATTTAATCCATCCTCCACTTTTCTAACTAATTAAACACAAACAAACATCCCTACTAATGGTTCTGACTCTCAAACCAAAACCACAACGCATCAATTTCACAGTATATCTGACATCCATCCGGCTTTCCCAATAGCCCTCACTGCTGTTCATCACAGCCTTTTTTATCCTTCCTTGCTTAAAGAACTCTCAGCTGCAGCAACCAAACCAAATATGCATCATTTTTCTATCCAAAATGCCTCATTCTTCTCAATATAATCTTCATGCAATTCATATAATATATGAACTTTGCTAATGGAATTCACTGCAACAACTTGATAAAAGATGATGATATGGGAAGGTTGAGGATTCTTTTTTACCTGGGGTCTGCTCATCAGGATGATCATCGAGCTGCTGAACCTCCATGTACTTGAGAAGGTATTTGAAGGTCTCGATCTCGCATGGGAGTGTTAGCCCACCACTGTGATCGAATCCATACTCCTCCTCTGCCTTTTCCAGCAACACCTTGAACACCAAATGGCTAAGATAGCTGGTGGGAATGATAAACCTACGAAGCTCCGGCCCAACATAAACAGCCAAGTACCCTTTCGGGACATCGGATAGATGCTCAGGGCTCTGGCAGCTCTCCTCATCCGAATCACAACACATGGCATTCATCAGCCTTTTGTTGATTGCTGGTGAAAGGATCCCACGATTATGATTTTGGCTTTGGCTTTGATTTTTATTGGATGCTTGGGATTTCGGGTTAACTGTGACAGCTTGCCAGTGTTGGAGAGTCTGTTTCAGCCTCACAAAATGGCGGATTCCAGTCCACTTCATCCCACCATTTCCATCCATTTCTTAATGTTCACCACAATTGTACAGAACCCCTGTGCACAAAATTTAGTGTCTAATTTCAGAGACAAATAGAACAGTTCTAAATAGTAAACTACAGCATGAAACAATCACTCAAACTGAGGAGACCAACCAATTCTAAGAGGTAAAACGCTCATCCGCTTAAAAATGTATCTTGGTATGCATTCAACCTACCCATTGAAAAGGAAACCTCAACTGTAGTAATATGCAGAACAACCCATTTGTTGGAAAGCAACCATACAGAGTATTCTATCAATACCATTGATTGAGGATGGCTAATTAAAGGGATGATCAGTCGTAAATAAGTAAGAAATACAAGTGTGAGGCCTTTTGGTTTCAAAAGCAAAACCATGAGAACTTATACTCAAAGTGGACAATATCATACTATTGTGGAGATTCGTGATTCCTAACATGATATTAGAGTCATGTCTATAACCTAGCCATGTTAATGGAATCGTTAAGTGTTGAACAAAGAATCGTTAAGTGCTGAACAAAGAAGTTGAGAGACTTGAAGGTATAGTAAAAACATGACTCAATTGTTGAATAGGTGGGGTATTTTGTTCTAGTGCTCCAGAGAAGGGGTCGAGTTTCAATTAAGGAGAGGCTATTCGAGGACTCCAAAAGCCACAGGGGAGACTCTATTGTGTATTTTGTTCGATGGGATGATTGTTGAAGATTGCGGAGAGGAGTCCCACGTTGGCGGATTAAGGAGAAAATCATGGGTCAAAGGAGGAAGACAAGAAAAGACACAAGCATGCTCCACGCAATTAAGAAATAAAGAAACAATTATCACAACAGGATCCATTTCATTCCACAAGATGTGATTAAGCAATTCAACAAGCCAAGTTGTAGGTACGAGAGATCCCTAGTCCGTCTCATCATTCCTCACATCCAAATTGAGAAACGAAAACGACATCTTACATTACCTGATTGACAATAAACGATGAAAACAACTCTATTCCAATTCCAATTCCAAATCGATGATAATACAACTTACATTCCATCAAATCAAATCGAACAACAACAATGGGAAGAAAAAGTAATAAAAGGGGAAAGAAAAGAAGATACCCGCGAAGAAGAAGAGCATTTAGGCGCAAAGGTGAGGAAGAAAAGGCATTTGGATTAGGAGGAGGAAATGGGAAGCAGAGGGAAATGGGAAGGAGGGAAAGTAATCCGAAGAGAGAAGAAAGAGGAGAATGAATATTTATGTGGAAGAGAGGAAAGGGCGTTGAAGAAGGACTCCCCTGAAACCATGGCCTCAACCGACCCCTCTCCGCCGATCCTTTCGGCCTGCCTTAAGTTGTCGACACCTTGCCATGATGCCCCGCGGACCAGTTGGATACATACATAGACTATATATATATCTATATTAGTGGCTACATATTACTTTATTAACTTCTAAGCATATTGCTTACATCGCAGTTGTTTTGTTTAATACACCTGATTCAATCTATTTCTTATGTGTACAAGTGTTTCAATCATGTGACAGGATGGATTTAATAATTTTACACAAGTAATTAGACCATTAAAAATTAATCTAAAAGATATTAATAATGTCATGATCTTGTCACGACCCAATATTTTACTACGAGTTATGACTCAAAACGACAATAACGTGTAGTGTATGCATGAAAACTCAAAAGAAGGCACTAGTTCAAAAACCATTTATTTCATAAGAAGAAAGTTGCAATACAAGAAATCAATATGCGATCAATTTTGACAAAATAAAACATCAAGGATAGTGTGTACAAAAAGAAAGATTGGATTGACGCCCTGGACATGCTTTCTTCTGTGACAATCCACATCACTCAACAAGCCTTCTCTTGACCTGACGCCTCACGCATCTGAAAAAGAGAGATAGTAGTAAAGATGAGTATAAAAGTTAATATTCGGTAAGCCACCTACTTGTAGCCTCTCATCGCATTTTAGGTTTAACAGATAAACACGGACTTCTCATTGGCACTAGGATGTCTGGTTCTAGTCTTAACCCCTTGGGGCTATTTTGATTCTCAGTCCTTTCATTTAAACTCTAAGAGTTCCTTATGTCGAGTTGTGAATAACCGGTGACCTATGAAAAGCTACCTTATGCATGACTTATCAGACTACTTGGTATCTTACTTAGGAGGTGAGCTGTACGACGTGGGCTCACATTTCCCATGCAAAATGACTAGGACAAGTGGATACTAATCAAGAACCCCTGGTCTCCACGAAACTATGACACCGTTCACACAATTTTCAGCCTAAGAGTACCTCTAAAAGTCGTTCATATGTCGTGGTGATATATAAGGCTTCTAGGAAAAAAGTTAGGTATAAACTTAGTGACTTGTCACTCTAGCCACAAATCTCCAGTCTCAACATAACAATGAATCATAAATAACTTGATGTGCATACATCAAACATCTAGATACATCATACAAAGTTTATGCAAAATAGGCAAACATGCTCAATGGGGCAATATCATCCATCAACACCTGGAGCATAGACTTCACAAATTTCTCGTTCTCCTTTCCACATGAATTAAGTATATACATACTAAGCAGAAACATAAAGCATGATTAACTTCGTATTATGCATCCATTCTTTAAATCTAATTACCTAAGCTCTTTTCTTGGGAAATCTAACCACCTAAGATAATTAAACTAGCATGCATGCCCAAGTGATTCCTATAAGTATTTCTTCCTACAGTACCGTATGGTAACTTACTTGGTTGACGCGTGTCATTCGCTTAGCATTCCTACACGAATAGGGTGTCCAAAAATATTGATTTTTTCCTCTAGGTCCTAATTCACATTCAATAAGATTAGAATAGGAATTAGGATGAAAAATCGGAGAAACAAAAGTCAAATGGTGAAAATTAGTCTCACATTCGTTGGCCACGCGCCTCCACGTGCCGAGAATGGTCCTAGTCGCAAGTGACACGTGCGGGCAGGAAATATGCAGCCGCTGTCCAGTTTGGAGAGGTTTGGTTTACTTGGACCACGGGTCAACTGGGTTGCGGATTGGATTGGGTTGATTGGCGGGTCGCAGGTCAGACGGGTTGCAAATGCCGCATGTCACAGAATGGCTAGAGCCGCGTGCTCCACTCAATGCTCAACGCATGACTCCATGCAATGGGCGGCGTGTGTCCCTAGCCTAGCTAATAAAATTTATCTCTCCTCCTATGGGACGAAATCACAGAGTTCATATTTTTGTATCTTTCGATTGATGGCTTAAATCAAGACAATTTCTTCAGCAAAGTTGTAGATTGTAGAACCACATACATTCTAGTATTTTTTTTTTTTTTTCTTGAATTTTACTTCGTTACAGAGCTAGGTACCATTTTACCCATACTCACCTCATGCTCTAAGGGCCTCCCAATGAGTGGTGCAACATGATCTCGTGACTAAGACTACGTCATAGGGGACACATAAACCTCTCGGCCTAGTATTCATACTATGTTGAAGGGAACACATGAAACCCTAGTGGTAGGTATTTAGAATATGTCGTAGGGAGCACATGAAGCCCTGGACACAGGCATGCAGACTATGTTAAAGGGAACACATGTAGCCCTAGATACAAGTATCATGATTTAGACTCTCGTGGAGGATACATGAAACCTTGGACATAAATTAGGTTCGCACTATTCACCAACATAGAACCTACAAGAAACAAGAACTAATAACTAATAATCCAAAACTTCAATGTCTTCGAAACAAAATTATGCTCATGAACTCAGAATCTCGATCCTCAAGATTGAAGTATGTACAAGAACTCAAGACCTTAACACCAAAGTCCTTCTAACAAAACCATGTTATGTACTCAAAATTCATAACTAGAATGTAGCTAGCATATGAGATTGTGTTGGGAGGGCAAGATGCATAGACTAAAAGGAATTTGAAAGCTACAAAAACTGCTCAAAGAAAGAACTTGGTGCAACTTGGAGTTAAGGAGCATGCTAGAAATGACTCTTAGGCTTCACCAAGTAATTTGTCTCTTATGAAACACTCTAGAAAACCCCTTACAATGTCGTACGAAGTTATGTTCAATTATTATTAAGTGAATATGAAAGGGTTAGGCCAAGAACCATAGGTTAAGAACTTCAAGTAAACATAAACATGAAAATGTCAAGTATGCTTGGAAGTATGACTTTATGAATTTTATAAACGTAAGCATGTAAATATGCTTTTAATATGCTTTTGTTGTGCCTTAGCGTCAAGTAGATTGAATCCTAGAAAATGCACAACTATGACCCTAAGCTTAGTACAACGCCAGGTTAGCTAGGTACCACTCTATCAGACTTGCCTTGTACCCTAAGTCACCATAGACCTCTCATTTATGTGGTATATCATGATCTCATTTTTTTTTTCTAACCTAAGTGGGATGTCATGCTAAGGCTTTTTGTAGGATTGCGTTGCTTTGCAAAATTTCGGACTCATACTATATTGCTAGGGATATAGGGGAATGTTAAGGCTGATGGATGCTGAATTCGGATTTTGGATCTTTATTCAAATCTCATGCATGAGAAGTTAGGACTATGTCGCATGAGACATGGAGAATAATGGGACAGTTAAGGGACAAATCCAAATTTTGAATCCTTGTTTAAATCTCGGACATAGATTTTTTTTTACTCGAATTCATGTTGTTTACCGACCATGTGACCTAACATATTTTTTTGGGGGAGTGTTTTAGGACCAATACTAGTGCTATGTATGGTGCATGGAGTGAAAGTGAACAACACATTCGGATCCACTTTCCTTAAACCCGTCCTCGAGCTAGGGACCACACAAGTGCATAAGCCAAGACTAAGCAATAGATAGATCAAGTTTTTAAGAACTCAAAACTTTAGGACCTAGATCCTCGAAACAAAACTCTTTTGTTATTCCTTATGGTCAAGTTTAGAGTGTGGTACCCTAACATCAACCATAGGCACGATTAGCCTTAAGTCATTTAGAGCATTTTATACTCGAGACTAGATCTGGAACAAGAAACAAGTGGCTATAGAGAGACATCCTAGGTTCAAGAGCCTCCACGAGTTGTGTATTTTTTTCTACCGATCTTATTGTATGTACCATTTTCCTTGTTTGAATTTGAACAGCATGATCAACAAAGCACCACATAATGCTAGACCTCTTTTACATAGCAACTTGGATCAAATTCTCCCAACCAACCTCAGATCTCGACTTGCTTAACACAGCTAAATCGCCCCATCAACCATGCTTATTTTAAAGAATATATAATGACCATGCTTATTATCATGAAATTAAATTTTGTTACATTATAATCACATTGAGACTAACATTTATTTCAAAAACCTTTCTACTAAAATCAAAGCATTACAATTATTCATACATTTGATTTCATCAAAATCAAGAAACTGTGTCGTTGCACTATGGTCCCTCACTCATTTCGCAGGTGATAATGCTGTAGCCTCCACTAATGTTGCATGTAGCTTCAATGTCTCCTCTAAAACACATTGCCTATCAAAAAGAGCCGACACAACTGCAACACCTTTAAGATTTGGGACACCAATTTCCATCACAGCCGCTGCATTACTGTGATTAATTCCACCAATTGCAACCACAGGCAACTTGGAAGCTAAGCAAACCCTTTTCAATCCATCAAGCCCAACAGTCAGATTGTTTGCCTTCGTGTTTGTGGGATAAACTCCACCACACCCAATGTAATCAGCACCATCAAGCCATGCCTGTTCCGCTTGCTCCGGTGTCTTGCATGAGACACCGATAATCTTATCAGGGCCAAGAAGGCTACGAGCTGCATGAACAGGAATATCGGACTGACCAATGTGTACACCATCAGCACCACAGGCAAGTGCAACGTCAATACGATCGTTGATCAGTAATGGAACGCCGTGTGTGTGACAAATCTCTATACATGATTTGGCTGCTTCCAAGAAATCGCGAGTTTTAGCATCCTTTTCCCTGTTCATAAAAATAAGATCATGCGACCATTGGAAGCAAATTAACAATTGAATACAAGTTTTAATTATACTAAGTTTATAACTTCGGTCAACAATAATACAACACGTTAAGAGATTCAAATCTTACAGTCGGGTTCTATTAACCCAAGATTACTACCTCACTATTGCTAGCCTATAGGGAGCCTTTAGCCTACACTTTATGGGTAAGTTTCTAAAGCCATTCAACCTTTGAACAACTGAGAAGGTGCTAAGAGGTATTAAAATGCAACAAGGAATTCAATACATCTGAAGTAATGACTTGAATATGTATGAACTTCTGAAAACATTTTTAAGCGAACAAACTAACAACAATTGATTAATGGAAAACAGTAGACAAACCTTATCTGAATTATAGTAGCACCTC